TGCAGTTTTTTCTTTGACCAAGTTTTTGATGAAAAACTTTGATAGTGACAACATAAACATATATGACTTGGACAAAGTTTACCTGGTCAAAGAAAACTTTGACCAAATTAACTTTGATAGTGACAACATCCTTGCAAATAAAAGCCACTAATCTAGAATATTTTGCAAGAAAAATCCAGAAAAAGCCGTAGAAATAGAAATTAAATAAAAAGTAAAATAACAAAAATTATACCGCACTCTAAGGAAAATTCAAAACGGAAAGTCCATTATCAAATGGCAGTAATCGATTGCTTGACACATATCTACAGTTATCGTGCTTACCATCCTAGTGCGATATCGATAATTGAATGAATAAAAACGTGAATTTGCAGCAATTACAACAACCATATCAATATTTCTCTTACACTTGCATCTCGTTTAAATTAAAATAAAAACACATCTCTGCTTTTGTTTTATTTTGTGATTTGGTCTGTATGTATTCGATATATGTATCATGATATGACATTATAACATAAATCCGACCAATTATAATATTTGAAAAAAAAAAGAATATCTATTACTGATATTGTGCTAAAAATCTTGATATTATCGCTTACACAATAATGCACTTGAAAAAGTCACTGATTTCTGAAAGAATTTCTCGCAAGTCTGAATTTGAAGCAATAGGCCATATACAATGTTTATTCAACTGTATTAAAACGCATAATTAATCTTGGTATTAAAACGATCCATTAACCATTGCAAAAATTGACAGACCTACAACTCTTCTGGGAAACAAGTTTCCACATACTTTACAATTGATCAAATATCGTATCGGAAATTCATGACCAAAATAACCGATCAAGGTCTGAATAATTAATGGTCGGATTTTATTTACAATCCACGGAGATATCAGAAAAAAAACTTTGAATAACTTGGAAAACTGAAAATAAGGAGATTGCCAATGAGACAACTATCCACCAAAGTTCAAATGATGTGGAAGTAAGCAATTATAGGCAACCGTACGGCCTTCAACAACGAGAAAAAAAACCCATACCGTATAGTCGGCTATAAAAGGAACCGACAAAAAAAAACGAAATAATTCAATTGAGAAAACTAACAGCCATAAGAACTATTTCATTTTACACTTCTGGAGAATAATGGAAAAATGCAGATAAAAATCTTGCTGGACCATATTAATTTGTACTTTAAAAATTTTGGATTGCATGGAATAAAATGTAAAGCTTCAGAATTTAAACGCAATAATGATCCCCCCTTTACTCGATAACAAAACATCGTTTATCACGGTATTCCAAAAATGAACGGAAGTGGTAAGCTCTGTAAGGTCAACTATATAAAAAACGACCTTTAGTTACACCTGCATTCAGACAGAAATACATTTGCATAGACTGGACATAATTAATCGCTTATCATATTTTGTCAGTTTTTGAAAAGTGATACCATTTCCTATTAAACTCTTCATATCTGATTTCATAGCTATTGTAACCCACACAAACCATATCATAGATTCTACTCTGTCGATGAAAAACGAGGTGAACCTGTTGGTTCAATTTGATATGGAATGTTAGTTTCGGAGAATAAATCTTCGCATTTTAATTGAAAGGAATAGTTTATTTGCCCGTCTTTCCCTTGTCTGCATGTTCACTTACATGCGCCAATATTGTAAATCATATATTTCATATAAATCCCTGCATTCTTTGTTTATGATTGCATCTTCCATAAATATTTAAGTGACATTGAAGTAAATGCTGTTCATTTAAACACCACTAATACATTTTATTCTTATATCTGTCATTAAGATGTACGATATATATATAACAGCAAGTGCATGTATAAGTTAATTTGTTTCTGCTTGAATATCTATTAAACTGAGAAGGATAAAATCAAATACACGCGAAAGTTGATGCATTTCTGTCAGTACCGCTTTTGGGGATTTGTGGCAAAAACAATAATTTCGCATTGCCTATACTGGTAACTTAATCTATGTTCTGCCCTTAGGGTAGACAATTGTCTTCTTCCAAGTTTTTATCTTTCTATCTGAACTGTTTCCCTTTAAGTAACTTTAAATTGTGTACTATGTTGTTAAACAATTTGATAAGCCTATCTAGTGTTTATAGAAATCTATATATACATGTAGTTATTGCTAAGATTGATTGATTGGTTGTTGGTGTTAAACGCCACTTGCAGCACTATCAGCTATATCGTGGCGGTCAGTTTTGATTAGCCGGAGGAAGCACGGATCCCATGAGAGAACCACCGACCTTTGGCAGAAAAACTGACAATCCTACTCAATTAAGATTGGAGTCGAACGCACCTCCAACGTGCGGCTTTCGAACTCACAACTTCAGTGTTGACAGGGGTTGTCGAGTTTCTAAGTAATCCAACTACTGCATCACCAGCCTGTCAACACTGAGGTTGTGAGTTCGAATCCTGCACGTTGCAGGTGCGCTCCACTCCAGTCTTAACTGACTAGAATTGTCAGTTTTCCTGCCGTAGGTCGGTGGTACTTTCCGGGCACTCCTCCACCAATAAAAACTGACCGCCACGAAATAGCACAATAGTGCTGAAAGTGGCGTTAAACACCAATCAATCAAACTATCAATCAGTGTTGACAGGCTAGTGATATGGTAAATAAACTATTTAGACCGATCTACCACAAAGACCTCACTCCCCCTTTATTGTTAAGAATTAGTTATCTATTGTCGGTTTTTAACACTAGACCTATAGTTATTACCAACACAGTGGTCAAGGAACTTTTAATGTCAAGTATTTGTAATGCATGTGTACCATTCTTACCTCTGTCTAGCTTCACTCGCCAGACCCTCACGTCAAAATACATTTAAAACACTAAGCAAATTACTTATACATTATAGATAATCATTTTTTTTTAATATTGAATGACCAGATAGAAAATATCTATATTATTTGGCGCCTGTTTAACTCTTGCCATGGCTTAACAATTTTACTGTAGCTTTCATCGATTGGAGTGCAAAACAATTACATGGTTAACACTACCACTTATTTTCGAAAGTATATGCATTAACTTATTATATATACATTTAGTATGTATCATCTCGACGTTGAAAACCAATGATTCTCGATAATCATTTCGTTTTCATATTACGCATTTTATTAGTGAACCTGAATTTTTGTCTTAGTTTTATACTTTAAAACAGACGGTTACACGATAATTTCCCTTAACTCAAGTGTTGACTGCATGGGCTATAGAAAAATTGTCATCTTGGCTTCTCTAATTCTTACTATAGAGCGGCTTCAGTTTATCTGTGCTGGATGTGAAAATAAGCAGCCACGTCCGGTCGGAATGGAGATGTTAAATCTGATGGTTCGTGTCACGCTCTCTTCATGTTAAAGAACTATTGTAACAAATATTTTGATGGGTTCATAGTTTGCCTGTTCCAAGACAACATTTCTTCCCCTATTTTCAAGATACCTTGCTTTTTAAGTGGTAGTCTAAATGTCCGCCTTTAATCGAAGTCAACCCACTTTGGAGAACCTATCTATTTTATGAATTATTAATTTCTTTTGGCCAAGAATATGCAAGTACATTTGCCACCTCATATTAAGCAAACAGTGGGCAATCGATTTCAGAGAAACCGATTGAAATGGACTTCTGAAATAATTGATTCCGATTATTAGTGTTTGTTGTTTTCGAGCTTTCTTCTTAATGAATGTTGCTTTCGAATTGCATATAAATAAATCCTCAAAATGTCATATGTTTTTAATAATACAATTATGCTTGAAAATTGAAAAATATAAATGAATCCCATTGCTTTTTTGTGCAGATTTCATTCAAAGTGAAACGACCTAGAATGAACTCCAAATCTACGAAAGTATTTTAACTAACAAAAATTAAGATCGATCTAATTCTGCTTCGAGTTGGTTACATGGACTCTAGTGGGATGTTACAAAGTTTAAATTAAGATATTTTCGATTTTATTTTCACAGAGCGTGGTTTGATAAGCATACGCGACATATGGAGATTTGTTGGTTTAAACCGTCTCTATTGCTAATAAAGTTTTCATGTATCACTTAATGTCACACTTAATATCAACAGTTTTTTAAACTGTCGGAACTCAAACCCAAAAGCCAGCTTTTCCTTGAGCATTGAGTTACTATTTAATTTCTAGACGAGGAGAACATTTACATTGATTAAGGCTGCAAATTTCAATTAAGACCACTCAGAATTAGAGACAGATACTTTCGTTTACAAACTAGGGGAAATACCGTACAAGTTCAGGTCGTACAGATTCATTGAAATTTTTCTAAGTATTGTAACACGGTCTATTCTATACCGCTTTCGTCGATATTTCTTCATCTTATTTTGTATTGATTTATATTATAATTGATAAGAAAAAGTAAGGAAAGAATAGTTGTGTAATGAAAATCGTATGGCTGGGTTCGCTGGGATTATGAAAGCTGTCAAACAGAGAACGATTTTATAGGGAAATAGTGTTTTATTCCTTTTAAGTAGCAGATTGTAGAAAAAAAGTAGTTGATGTCAAGTATGGTTTTTAACTGACAGAATGTCGATAAGTACTTAAGGTTAAAATAACATAATAACCTTAATTACAGTTGATTTATCTATAGTAATTAATAAATTTTTCAGTTGTATCATACACCATTGATGTGAAATATTTTTTTGGAAAATAAACATTACCATAAAATATAAAGTTTGATTATATCAAATGACATATTTGCGTATCTTTTTGTGCATGAATCTCCATTAATAACATTAACGGTGTCAATTTTACTGCATCAGATGCGCATTTTGACAATAGATGTCTTTTCATGAATGGACATCTAAAATATTTGAAAATCCAAAACTTATATGTTAAAAAAGTTAAGAGCTTATAAACCAAAAACGCAGTATAGCCAAATCCGGGCAACTATTCAGAGCTTTGTATGCGGGAGATATATTCCTCAATTTAAGCATTGATAGCATTCATAAATATTTACAAATTTGTTCTCTTGACTTTCAGTTACCAGTTATTCATACAAGCGCATGACCGCTGAACCAGCATTTGTGAACACACCAAGAAACGTTACCGTCCATATGAATGAATTAGCACAACTCCAGTGCAGAATCAAAAACTTAGGTCCGAAACAGGTAAATATATCTTTTATGATAAACAGAAAAGAGTTATTCGTATACCATAATAAAATAAAGGCTGTCGACATTTGTACATACATGTAGTCGAAAATTACGGGTTTTAAACTATAGCATATACACTTCTCAATACAAACAATGTATATTGAAGTGCTTATAATACAGTATACATGTCAGAATGTTTGGTAAATTCTTATGTTTAACGACCGAGAATCTTTTAAATTTTAAAAGTCATGAATGTTTACCAAATAAATAATAGAAACACTGCTTTGTTTTTAAAGATTGATTTGTCATGGGATATCGCTTTTGTTCTTTAATGAAAGTTGTGTGTTAATTTTCAGATGTCCATTTCTTACAATTTTTTTTCAACCTATAAATTATTGTCTTATTATTGAAAGTGAACAAACTTGTGAGGTTAATGTCCATTAGACAACAAACCGATGAGACGTGTTGCCTTCAGTAAAACACAAGTGTCTTTACAATTTGCCAAGGTCGAAATCGCTTTGATAAGTTGTGAATAAATACATCCGAGAATAGTAAAAACTAACTTAAAGTAACACTGTAATGTCCGCTCAGACAATTAACAACTTGCGGGTTTGAAATGCATTTGTAAGCTCTTATCTCGACCAGTCATATTAAAGATTAAATCCGTAAGGAAAAGAATTTGAATTATCAAACATTGTCAAAGGCGGTAGCATAAAAAAAAAACCACAACAACGCGAAGAACAGGACCAGATATAATGCTTATCGTACCATAAAGAAAAGAAGGAACTGAAGCAAACTCGTGACTGTATTGACGTTGTAAATTTCATTGAACTTTATCTGTGTATAACTGAGAAAATTATAAAGTCAGGAATTTCGTGACCACAAATTATACTTTAAACCTTTACTAAATTCTTTAATATTTACACAGATTTGGTTTGTAAGTTGGACTGCATCTGTATAAAATTTATTACTAACAGGATATCACATCTTTTACGGAAATGTTGTTCATATAGCCCGTAAATATAGAAACGCCCTGTGAAAACTCATTGATCCATTGAATAACTTTATTCTGAAAGCTTATTAACTTAACACTGTCGTAAGATCTTAGGATATTGTCTTCATTGGTATTAATATTTATTTTGCATATAATAAATTGAAATATTACTTAATATGTTACTTATATTTTGGCATTGCACAAGGGCCTGATTTTGCAGACTGTTTATTACGTCCTCAAACAAAATCCATCGTAAGATGTGTATTGATCAATAGTTAAGTATGGGAAAACATGATGTATTTGACAGTTGGAATTGGCTATGAATTAGCTTTCAGTAACTGCGAGTACTCTTTGATCGGTATACCTTATGAGTTTGTCTTTTTGGTAGGGTTTGCGTGTGTGCTTAGGTCTTATGAGTCAATCTTTTTATAACAGATTCTTATAGTTTGTTCTTACGTTGTGTTGTTAATACACTGTCTCGGGTTAGGGGGAGGATTTAAGACTAACAAACATGTTTAACCGCATTTTATTCTTGATATGCCCGTCCGGAGTCAGGAGCTTATAATTCAATGGTCATTGTTGTTTGCTGCCTGTCATACTTGTTTTCGTTAAGTGTTTCTAGCATAAACCAGGCCGTTTTTTTTTTTTTTTAAATTGTTTCACATTGTCATGTCGGGGCCTTTTGAAGCTTTCAGTACGGTATAGGTTTTGCGCATTGTTGAAGGCCGTACAATTCTCTATTGTTGTTTACATTCTCGTCATTTGGTCTGTACTGGATAGTCGTGTCATTTGTAGTTATATCATATCATTGCTATATCAAAGTACGGTACTTTATTTATAATAAAAATATCGAAATAGAAACCATGCGCCCTTAAACTCTAATATGATGGAATTGAATTATTTTTAGTGCAGTAATTACTGATTGCCTTCAAACAACCATGATATATGGTTCGTAATCATAATTAATAATTTTTTTTTCAGGTGGCTTGGAGAAAAGTATCCATAGATTGGCCATTGACTGTTGGTATTAAGACATTTGATCCTAAGGAAGATATAAGTGTTAGCTTCAAGGATCTTAAAAAGCAAGAAGAGGGATTGACACAATGGGACTTAATAATAAAACATGCTAAGCCTAGACATACGGGAATGTATGAGTGTCAGATTAGTGCAAAAAATCTTTATACGCACTATGTTTACCTTAAAGTGATAGGTAAGTTTATACCTGCTGAGAACTGTTCATAATTTATATTCCCTTTTAGCACAGTCAATATATTGTATGTTTTATTTGTCTTTATGTTGATATAAAAAAACGAAGAACAGAGTTATTTAGTTTTGTGAATACATGGAAATATGGGGTATACGTAAATGAGATGGCAACCACAAAACATACAACAATCTAGAAGTGTACATGCAGTCTTCAATAATAGACTGATGTCTATATACATGGTATAACACATCAAGATCTAAATCTCCTTGAGTTTTGTTTTTAATAGCTATTTGGGATAAAACGATGTTTGAAATTTAATAAAAGACTACTCGAGGAAACATACTGCCAAGCATGACTCTACCTACATGAATTCAAGGAAAACATATGTTTCGCAAAGTTTGTGATATTATTACGATAATTGTTTTTAGTAATACATTTTGATGATATTCTTGTTAATTAAATTGCTATGAAACTGAAATAACCCAATTAAATAAACATTTGATCTACTGTTCTTATCTCGCACTGGTAGAAAATTACAGACAATGAAACGATTTTATAAAAATAAGGAGATGTGCTTGCCGGTGGTTAAACATGTTTGTGAGCGCTCAATCCTCCTTTAATTTAGGACAGAAGTGTAAAGTCACAACATATATTTAAAAATAAACATTAGAAATTAGTTGGAAAGGGCTTGACTTACTAGGTCAGCACGAAGCGCAACAAAACTCTTATCAAACTGACAAGAAACACACAAATAACCGATCTAAAAGTATTGGCCGTTACTGAAGGCAAATTCAAAGACAACTTCAACTAATGAATAAGCCAATTATTTCTTGACTGAAATGTCAATCTGTCCACATCCAACGACGGATTTAGTGTATGAAGTCTTAAGACCGAAGCAAGACCTTGTGCAAAGCCAACACATACATATCGACTGGATGTAGGACCATAAGTGTTCATAACTGTATAACAATACACATTTAGTTGTTTCAATTTATTAAAAACAAAATCAATGTTATTATCGATAAAGAAAATTTTCGAAGATCTTACAACATTAAACATTAATAACCTTTCAGAATAAGTTTATTTATAGGATCAATAAGTTTACATGGATCGTAAATTTACAGGCTCTATAAACAACAGCACCGTAATAATTAAGATTGTGATATTCCGTTTGTGATAAGGATAAGCTATAATTCCTGGAACACAATACTAAAGCATTGTATACATTGCGCGCAGGCAAACAAAATACTTTATATATACCGGTCACAGACTATAATACAATTTATGTATTATTTTTTTTTAATTTCATCACGGTAGCTATGCACTCTTCTGCTTGGTTATGGTTCGTATAACGTAAACACGGTGAAAATAACGTTCCAATGGTTATCATATATAGCAAATTCAATAAACACATCCTTGTTTTAACTTAGTTTGAGAAAAAACCGAAAATTATGCGGAAAAACACACGTCGGTCAATACAATGAAAATATGTAGAAATAACGCCGAAAGCACATACCTTTAACTCAATCGTCCTTACTCAACATCGGTTGTTAGCCGAGGAACGTCGATAAAATAGGCCATATCTTACCAAGTTGGTGTCCAATGCATAATAAAATGTCAAAACTGCAGTAACAAGTTTTAGCTGTAGCCATTAATATGTGTATGCCTCCATACGATAGTAGGGGGTATTATGTTTTCCAGTTCGTGTGTCCGTCCGTCCGTACATTCGTTCCGTATCAGATTGAAATTTTTGTTTAAGTAAGTTGATATGAATTTGTATTCACAGCAACTTCAAACTACGCATGTTCGTTATTCTGTAAACTTTCTAAAATATATGTTTAATTCAAATTTCGTGTTTCAATGAATAAGAAAAATGTGATAGTGCGAGCGGACTATAGTATATAGTGTACTGTTTTATGTTGTATGTATGTTGTTTGGTTGCCGTGACAATGAGGTTATACTCTCTTCTCTAGTGATGCAATAAGATAATAACTTAATGTTTTGGTATAAATCCTTTGAGATATAATGTTTGTGTTCTTTCCATTTACAGACACGCCGTTAGTTGTCAATCCAGGTATGTTCGTTTTTTTTTTCATTTTTCTAATATACTGCAAAATATTTTTCCACGATCATAGAAAAACAAAAGATATTGGTATCCATCAATGACACAAAATCAGTACATGCACAGCAAAAAACACACACAAAGCGAAGGAATAGCGCTTTTATTGCTGTTCTTTATCTCAAAGTCACAGTGAGGCCTTCAAACGTGCATGCTTAATGTAATAATGTTATAAAATCATCTTATAATTTTATTTTAATTTTTGTACATATTATGTATTGTGCACACACTATTACCAATATTTACAAAATAAGTTTTCACTTATTAACATTAACACTCTTAAAAGTAAGAATGTTTCGTTTGATTAAACTTTCCTATCAGTTTACAATAAATAATGATTTAGACATTAGAAGTGCCATTTATAATCATTCTGTAAATGTATCGATTATTTTTCCTCTTTTTCTCGTTATCAAAATAATGTGATATGATTGTCAATAAGACAACGTGACATTTTTACCGACATAGAAATAGCCTGGCGAGTAATGCATGCATTACAGGGTACACCTTTAACCTTGTCGACACAACGCTATAGTTCTGTTTTACGGTTTTGCGATTCCTTCAGTTTGTTCTCTAGGTTTATATATTCCAAAATGGATTTACGAGTTTAGTGAATCGGTAACTACTGATGCCTCTTATATACATGTAGTAAAGTTATTTGCTTACTTACTTACTTACTTATACATACATGTATGTAAATAGTCTTAATTTACTCAGAATCAAACAAGTGCGTCTTTGGTAAAGTGACAAGTCTCGTTGCGGAAAAAAGTATTATAAAAAAATACAGAGTTCCAAGGTGAATTCAAAAAAGGGAAGTCCATAAAAATTGACAAAATCAAACGTTAGACTTATAACGGAACGAATGAGAAACAACTGTCAAATTCCTGACTTGGAACATGCATTCTCCGAAGAAAATGGTGTGGACTGTTTGTTTCCTTTACCATCTCGGTCTAGTGGAAAACAGGGTATACTTATTGACCTCAATTAGATATTTCAATATGCATAAACTGAATCAGGACATTATAACCTTATGTGGCTTTCTTTAAAGTAATTATACTGCATAATTTGTCTGGTTCTAATCATTCAGCTAATTTCCGTCACATTGATTTTTTTTTGTAAATACATGTTTATACATCTTTCTGCATCTAACTGCTTCTCAACTTGATAATGGAAAATTTATTAATTGCAAAAGAACTCAACCTTACAGTACATATGCCTCCGTTTATGGAGTAATCTTTAACATAGCAGTTGTTGTTTGTCTTTTGAAGTATCTAAAGTACAAACTCTATGTGCATATTGCATTAACCCTAGATAATATAGACTGACATTCAAATCATCTATTTTTAAGTAAATTTTCTACATCAAATTGCATCGTTAGTGTCATTAGTGTATAACCAAAAGGTATAATTATATACAATTATAAAGTCTTGTTTTCTTTCCGTCCGCTTCGCAATTATTTCCTTTGCCGATATATTGCCGCTAAGTTTTTGTATTACTTTATAGTTATAATGAATGTTTACACTACGACAGTGTTAAATTAAAATGGCAAACCTTCCAGTATTTCCGTTCTGGTATAATTTGGTAAAATAAGACAAAAACACGTTCACCTTTGTAGCTTTGTGCTTTATTGTATACAACATATATATAATTTGCCATACGAATTTATCTTTCACTTTTAAAGAATTTTTGTCTTCTTTATATGTTTGAAAATTAAATGACGATCTTTAGTTGCAGATATTCTTTATTGGAAGACTCGATTTGTCAACACCTTGTTAAACCTATGCAAGTGTTTGCAATTATGAATTTTAATTCGACTATATAAATTCCACGTTTCAGAATTGAACTTAATGGAGACCTAGATGGTGCAATATACATATTTTAAACATGTATATTACTTATGCCAAGTACATTTGTTTTTTTCAGCAATAGCTATGTATGGTACTAAATTTATCAATCTCCATGAACCTATCAAATTAGTATGCAATGCAACGGGTGGTACTCGAGCGCCGTCGCTCATAGACTGGTTCTTTAATGGTCACATGATACGTGGACGAGATCCAAGATGGAAATCGAGATTACGTATAAATGATTATGTGCCTGACGTACCTGGCAGAATGCTTGTTAGTGAATTGACTATAGACTATAGTATATTTGAGGATAAAGGCAAATATGTTTGCCGTAGTTTCGCAATGAACAATTTTTACACCACAAGCTTGGATATATCAGTTCTAAATAGTAAGTTATTTAAGTAATATACTTCTAGAATCATTGAATCGCTTTTGGGCTTATTTTAGTAATTATTCTTGCAGAAAAACATACAGTAGAGATAAGACAGAATCTAATATTTACTAATTAAAATACGCTCACAAATAAGTTAAAATATAATTTAAGTTTCTGAAGAATTGAGAGCCTGGAATAAAATAACAACGCCATAAATTTTTTTCAAAACCGACTAGACGTAAAGTGAAAAGAAGCTTACAGGTTGGATATTTTTTCTCAATGGAAATCATACCACATCTCCTTATGATGCTACACGAAAAAATTCGGTAACAAACATTTGTCCGTCTCTCCTTCCGTCCGTCCGTCCGTCCGTTCGTCCATCCTTCTACGTGACCCGAATAAAACTGGTTTCCGGATGATAACTTGATTATCCATGCTTGCTAGGAATGAAACTTATACACATAGAAGATATAAAAAAAAGGAAGAAGACTGGTCATTTTGGGGTCAATAGGAGTAAGATCAATGTCACAGTTTCTAAAAAAAAGATTTAAAATGTGGTTTTTGGGATGTCTTAATTTTGTTATTTGTTTTATTATGACACTAGTATAGATAGAGGACATAGAGAAGGGGGAACTTCTGATCTGAGGTCAAATGTCAAGATCACAGTTGCTACAAATAGACTGAAAATACAAAAAAGATTAATAATAATGTGTTGCTTCTGTCTAATTTGTTTTAAGTGTTTGCCATGCCCCCAAAAGGTATTTATATATATTTGGACTCCGGAGAAAGTATTGGTAACAATTTTGATTTCTATATTGCTGACGTTTTACTATCCCTGGAGCATATAGTCCTTGTTTAGTCATATTGCTTTTTGGTGATAACTCGAGTATTCCTTTACGAATTGCAACACATTTATACCGGTGAAAATTAGCAATACAAGTACACGTTTTATTGTCGCTTCAAGCATACTAGTATTTTGAACTCTTGAAATTAAAATGTTTCTGTCAGTAAATGAACAGTGCGGAGAGCATCAGTTGGCAGTGCCAGTTTTTCATTTCTTTTTGTATTATTCTACATTGATCAAAGATAAATAGACAGTCTTACACTGAGAATTCAACAATAAGTCAAATATTTGATTTTAAATTTTCAAACATCATGACAAAATTGAAAATGTTGTATCCACGACAAAGCCATTCTACTATTATTGCAAATTTTTTTTTTTTACAATATTTCAAATTGGTCAAATATCAATGAACTAAGAAATTAATTGGTATTCCCAATTTGATTGAACTAAGAGAAAAGGGTTTAACTATAAAAAAGCATCTCCAAAATATAAACTATTGTCTATCAATAATTTCTTGATTTGTTCTTCATTGAATGGTTTTCCCTTTTGTTACATTGTATCTGTAAAAAATAATAGAAATTGGGAATTTCATTTTTTTCAAATATGCAGATTAACCTTTTTATGGATATCCAAGACACACTTCTATGTCTTATTTTGTTTAGCGTCTATTTACCTTATATAATGTATGGAGATATTTCTACATGAATCTTAATCTTTCTTTTTCCTTCTACCATTCTCCACAGCAGAGAAAGAACATGGAAAGAGAGCAGGTAAGAACAGTTTAAATATGTTGAACATTGATATGATTGTTCCGAACAAGTTTTTATTTATTATTATTTCCCATTCAATTTTGCACACGATGTTTTTACGTGATTTGCATATAGTTTGCAAGTAAACTTAGTTTCTAAATAATGTATTGGAATCGTGACAATTTGGTATTTTCAAAAGGTCTTTTCAGATATTGATGAATCGAAATGGTTGCTTATACTATGAGATAAGTTGTGTCAAATTCACACATCATGGATTTAACTTTGCACACTCATGAAACCAATATATTTCAATGAGACTCGGTCATTGACTGCATTGATTTTAACTCAGCTTGCTTCTTATATCCACTCATTAAGTCATTGTTCAAATTACCTGCCAAATTACAAAAATGTTAATACGTATGCACACATTAAACTTGTCTCTTTTTTTTCTTTTTCTGTAAAATCCTAAATGTATTTTCTGATGCTAATGTTTTTGGTGGGGTTCGTGTTGCTCAGTCTTTAGGTTTTTATGCCCCACCTTCGATAGTAGTAGAGGCATTATGTTTTCTGGTCTGTGCGTCCGTTCGTTCGTTCGTCCGTCCGTCTTTCCCGCTTCAGGTTAAAGATTTTGGTCAAGGTAGTTTTTGATGAAGTTGAAGTCCAATCAACTTGAAACTTAGTACACATGTTCCCTATGATATGATTTTTCTAATTTTAATGCCAAATTAGAGTTTTGACCCCAATTTCACGGTCCATTGAACATAGAAATTGATAGTGCGAGTGGGGCATCCATGTACTATGGACACATTCTTGTATGTTGTGTTTTGTGTACTGTTGTTTGTCTGTTGGTCTTTTTCCTCTTTAGGCATGGCGTTGTCAGTTTGTTTTCGACTTATGAGTTTGAATGTCCTTTTGGTATCTTTCACCTCTCTCTTGAATTATATGTTTGAATAACGCAAATTGCTAGTTTGAATTAGCAATTATTGACTGTTTCCTTTGGATGAATAATTTATGATAATTGAGAATTGTAGGAAGTATAAGCAACCGAAGATTCGGAATTACAAGTAACAAAAAGCCTAATGTCATCGTTGTCGATTTTTCAAAAGTACTTTCAAACAACTTATGAGCAGTATACTGTAGCAATATGATTCATCTATTACATAGATACATGTTGTAAAGTACATGTTCGGAACAATCATGAAATGTTATGTCCAGCATTGTGGGTTTGCTTGTAGTTTTGCATCACATACTTGTCAGTATAGTTAAATCTTATCAGGAAACCATCAATCTTCAGGGTTACGAAATTGGTTTTATAATATACCATTTTGAAATCCGTATGCTATGATTCATCAACAGTTAAATATTTATAACGTATTTTATGTGCTTTTCAAAGTACAGATATTGTTATCGACGCAAACTTTTTCTTTAGCTGGATTTTTCTTTCCTTTATAGGCTTACTTTAGTTTATTGGACTTGAACCTTTGATATTTTTATTTTGTTCAATTACTTGGTAAATCACAATTGAGGAAACCAAAATTTGAAATCAGTTTATGGTATTTATATTGTTGTAATGGCATACTGAATAACAGAAATAAATATATTAAGAACACTAATATATAGTACTAAGTTATATCATTTTCTGCATATTTTATCCCATTACATACGGATTTCCAAGTTGGTTAACTTAAGTATGGAATGTTATTATTTTAATATTAAGAGCACTTTAATTGTTCGAATATAAGCTATAATAATATTTTTTCCCTATGATACATTTTTCAAATAATGGCCTTTATTACGTTCATGTTCGACATCAAAATTTTTGAAAGTCAAATATATAAAATCATTGATGAACAAAATAAAAACAGTCTTATTTGAATAGTCAAAATCGTCTATAGACATCTTTATAAGCTTGCTGCAGCCATAATTTTAAGTAATTTCATAATTTATAAACTGTAAATTTACTATCAAATAGAAAATACCAAAATAAATTGCATCCAATTAGGACGATGATATCATTGGGGACGGACAGTATAACACATTTACAATGTATCACCAACACAGTGGTTATAATGAAATATCAATGCATATGACACGTGGTTCTTGAATATTTATAACCATCGTAAAGTACCTAATTTGGATGTCTGATACGTAGGACGTTTGGGAGTATGAATACTAAAAGGGTCCAAGCAGAACAGCCAAACATGTCCAGTGGGGAGTTGATATCATGGTTGAGGTGCTACATTGCAATAATCGCGTGTATTTTGAATCATGATTACCTATTTGCAAGACTCTTGAGTCATTTAATTAGTAATGAAAATAAGGTTTCATGCTTATTGTATGTATTTGAATATAGTTATTTGCGCTACAATGAGGTGGATATACAATGGAACAATTTGAGTTATAAATCAGTTGCTTTCTCATATTAAGTTTTAACAACTATCATATCCATAATTGTAAAAAATGTTGTTTTTTAATTTCAAAGTAAATTTGGGCTGAAAAGGTCCGCTTAGGTGCTTGAATACAAGATAAACAGTTGATATATAGTAATGCATATGTACTTTGCTTGCTTTTAGATGATACATATTTGATGTAGAAAATTGTTACATATTCAAATATGATTTATATTAACACGTTAAATGTCAAAAATATTTTTGTTCGGGCAATCATATTACATAAAAAACTCCTCTTTTTATATAGATGCAAATATTTAAATGATGAATATATATGGTCGTTGATAGTTCAGGGAATGCACCCTTCCAAAGCGAATTAATCGACTAAATACTTGTCAATGTAAAGACTACACCAGAAATTATTTAACTATAAAGTTTAGTTCTTGTCAATTCTTTCCTGTTTATGTAGATAAAAAACTAAACTGATTTGCAATTTTAAATGTGTATAAACAAAGTCGGATGTTTATTTGTATTCACTACAATATGTGTCAATGCTTTGCACATTTATAAGTTGCAATATTTAACCTGAAATGTCTACTAACTTACATTCAATTTGTACTGTAGTTTAAATGATTCTTATCCTAGTCAATGACTTTTCATTAACTAATTAGTTGTATAATAAAAGGCGTCATATCTGCAAACATCGCCATACCATTATAACACGTAATTCCCCTGTGTGTTTCATCTTATCTTGATAAGTCAATAGACAGAAAAAAGTACTTGCAGCCTGCATTGAAGTCTAGAACATCCATTTACTGTAGACAATACTATCGTTGTTGTACATCAGTATTTTTGACATTTTACAATTACATAGTCTTTTTTTGTTTTTCTTATCGACAACGTATCAAATTAGGACCATTGTTGTAAAACGAGTCTGTACTTTTAATATTAAGCATCTCGTTCCTTTGGGGTCTAAAAAAATGTCTGATTTTGATATTGATATATAAATACACTTATAGATTATACAACCCTTGTGACCTTCCGTCCAAGCTTCCTAGCAACTAATTTGTTCACAAGAAACAATTCATTTCAGTTCCGTTGTTTGTTTTCCTCTGGTGTTTAGAATAATAAGTTAGAATCTGTCGGTTTTGTCATATAGGTGATTTACGGAATATGATAGCAAATTGTTTTGGGATTTAGTCACGCAGTACAATATATCTATAGAGACAAATGTCTCAATGTCCTAAATGAAATGATTTCTTGGCTCGAGATCATAATATCTATGAAGCAAAATTATCTTTAGAGAATTCCCTGTCTAAAAGTTGTGTTCATAAAGGAGTACCATTATTGTTATTTCTGATACTTGTTCTTGTTTTAAAAAAAATGCAAAATAACCAATAAGTTGTCAAATAACTCTGTCACAGTAATATAATACTACCATCCCTTATATACCTAAAGTAATTTTAAACAATTATAACCACGAGGGTATAACGCATTGCAATTAAAACTTAATTTATCGGAATTTTTAAACATACAATATTAAGTTTTTAATGACTATAGTTCGATTACAGAGTTCAATAATATTCTATCGCATGCAATTTTTTTAGAATTCGTTAGCATTTTAAAGTTGTTTTTATCTAAATTAGTCAATTCGTGACACATATCACCAATTTTGTCATCGTCTGTGTCATCAATAATTTTTCAGTCTAATATCCTTAATGCATTCAACTTAATGAATTGTCCAGTCAAACGAATTATTTATTAAAACATTAGAACCGAGTTAGATTTAAAGTACTCCAAATATTGATGATGAGAAACTGATGTTAATCAATACTCTAGACAATGGAGGAATATGACTAACACTACCAAGTCTTTCATCGTTGTCAGAAAGTCACAGGATATGACGGGTCCCTCGATTAATGATTACACATATTGAAATGAATTATAAAATAATCAAATATCATGATCAGAATTACAGATCTGTCGACATGACAAAGCCCTGTATATGGTAAATCTGCAGTCAATGTATCTTTTAATTCAAGATGGATTATTAGATTTCAAAAGAAGTTAAATGATGACAAATAAAACATAAACGTGTCAAACATTCATAAAAACTTCAACAATGCGATCAAACATTAACGAGTCTTTTATGCCGACGATTCTCACTGCCGTACTTTCAACACACTTCATAAAGAAAGGTAAAATATCCTCGTACTATAGGGGTAATTTTTTTGCGTTAATGCGATCAGTGTCCTCTATACACACACATTGGATCCATGCAAAAAGATTTTTTTTTTAAATTTACAAAATGAAATGTGAGTACAATGTTCCTTTGAAGGAAACATACGTTGATGTTAATTTCCAAGATTCATTCAGAACCTCTTTCAAGACTTAAAAAAAGACCTAATGTTAGTCGGGTACCGCTGATTTCTTCATTTTAATGCACTATTTTTACCTTCTAAGTTTTTCCTTTCCAGTGTATTAATATAAAGACTCCCGTGTCAGCATTCAACAATTTTCAAATTTTGTGGTGCCTTCATTAAAAAAAATCAGTTGGAACGTACCTCCAAGAACAAAACAACGAACTTCGGAGTAAAATTACCAGAATCGTTTGAACTCCAAATGGAATGAAAACGGGTGCTTCGACTAAGTAGAATACTCCTGTTATGCATGTATATCCTTCATACAGTATTAAATATAACCTCAGCATTAAATTTCGAAGAAGACTTCGTTAAACAATAAAGATTAACAAACATCAACCCCAACAAAAACCTGTAATAAACTCGTGTACTTTGGAAGAGTGCGCATTTCCTAGTTAGCTAGTGCCACCCGTCGTTTTGCTCATGGCAAGTACAACTCGATGATAAGTAATATATAGCGACCGATGAAAAGAGGACATATTGGAACAATTCTAAAGTCACCCGTGACACAGATATTCCATATTATCCGTTATGATTAGTTTAAATAGAATAAAATACAGTTAAGACACATACCTTCGTAAATGTATCTTTGCTATATCCTTAAAGCCACTGAATTATATTAGATTGTATTATTCTTACATAAGGTTAACAACTTCGGTTATATGCCGCAGACAGATCCTCTATGTGCAATTTCTATCCTAAGGGCTCCTTTAGAAATAACATAATTTGTAGAGAAAAATACTACATTTAAATTAGTTTGCAACCAAGCTTCCAATTTGTATCATATTGGGGGATGTAGAATTGTTGTTCACGGTAGCAATTCTAACCAATTACTGCGTGCACAAAATTGGTATGCAATTTGTTATGAATTTTGTTTCAAATTGTTATGAAACGCGAAGAAAATATTTATTTATGAATTATAAAAGATGTATTTAACTGTCTCACAACCAAACTGAAGGAGAAAGCGTTTTCAGGAAATGTTCTTCGATAATTTAATTTTCGAAATAATTTAATTACATCATGTATAGGTCGTTGCTTCAGATTATAACTGTAATAATCAACTGAACCTATATCTTAGAGAAACACATACACAAGTAGTAAAGTAAAAAGAAATGGACCTGATTTTAACCACCCTTATAAACCCTTTCGGAATCATGGACCATACTGAAACGGTGTACTGATAAACAGTAAAGAAGTCTTATTACTGCTGTACGAAATATGCGTATGATTTGTAAATGTTTTATGAAAATATAATTCGAAAGAAAGTAGTTAACAACATTTTGTGCAACTTTTAATCGCCGCAAATTCAGTAAAATTACTCACCTTTTCATATCTTGTCATTATACTCTATTTCACCATGTTCATCACGTCATAGTGACACCATAACTAGTTGTTCGACTGATTTGTCCAGACTATTTAGCTCTATTCATTCATCTGTAGCAATGTATAATTTCATAAGACTTGAAGATTTTTTTCTATTTTTTGCAATTTCAGTACTTTTCAGTACTTCTAGCGTTTGTTACGATTGTTTTAAAATATGCCTTTTTATTCCGAATGTTTAATAACGAGTTGTTGACATCAGTACTGGTGGAATATTAGTTCCGGGATAGTATTATCTGTCATGTTACTCGTGATGATTCTTTATTCTTCATCTTGATCACTTATCAATTTTTTGATTTTGGATATTCTCTAAGGTACCTTTTGTTATGTTTCCTATCACGTTTTTATACATTCTGCATTCCATAAAATTATACTTTTATAAACATGCTTAAAAAAACATATTGTAAAATCGTTCCTATTAATAATTATAAAAGCATGTTGTAAAACAATAATACAAACGTACTTTTGTTTTTTAGATACAAAGAAATATTCATCGACAACGGACGAAAATCCGAACTCTGGATATTCAGCTAATCCAACTACAAGTTTACTTGCTCTGACTTTCGTTATGTTGTTTATATTACTAAGGTAATATGGTTAATATTTGATTTTTGATGCTGCAATATTGTTATCACAATTGTAATGCAATGAGAAGTAGAAGGTTTAATTGACTTGTGATTTATTTTAAATATGGATGGTCAGTAAGAATGGCTATTGAACTAAGATAAGAGGGACACAAAATGTGGAAGTAGCTTGTGAAAAGGATACACATCCTTTAAAGAGAAATGATGTTAAATGTTATGGTTGTGTTCATATTTGTGTTTGTTATATTTTATTTGTTTCTCGCTGGATTATGACTGAATATGATTCATGTATATGTTTTGTCAGCTATCTGTTTTGTTAGAAGATTAAAAAATTTAAAGAAATTCAAAAAATCACATAACTATTTTTATGTTAATTAAATAGCACTTTTATATCAGATGATTTTTTTTAAGTTATGCTGAAGATTTCCTTTTTTTTTGTTCAGTTTGAACAAAAGCTGAGTTGTTTTACCCATTTCGCACTTGTAATAGAATATAGATTGAACTGAAAAGCTATTCATGAATTATGAAAATAACTTTCGATCATAAAACCCAGCTTTACGGGTGTTATATTTATATTATATGGTCATACCTCTTTATATATATTTGAAATTGACCATTTGTACATTTAGTCGTATTTCACATAAATATTTAGTGTTCCGGACAGAAATGTGTTATTCCTGATCATTTCACATTATTAGAAGGTTTCCAAGTCTAAACAATGTTATACTCAGATGGCAGCAGGACTTTGAACCCTTCGAAAGCGACTTTTCCAGAGAGAATACTTAAATGATTGTGCTCGTATAAATCTATTATTGATCTATTTTTGTATGATACTTTCTCTCCAATTTAATTCGAAATCTTGATTCCGATGTACTTCGGTACTACTAGTAGTAGAAAGTTATCATTATCAAAGTATACCAATTTCACAAATACATGTTGTAATTTCTGTTTGATATCTGATTTATGTCACATATTTTGTACAGAATTTCTATCAGTACTTGTATATAATTACATGTGTCAGAAATTTCAGAACTATTTACATTTCTGGGTCGACTTGAGAAAGTCACTCAGATTTAACTTAATCAAACAGTTTTGTATAACTGTATTTCGTTATAAACATCTTGCACGTGTTCTATTATTCTGAAATATTTGTAAACAATTTATATCATGTAAAATGACTTTTGAGTCGCACATCATTTTGTTGCCAATGAATAAATATTCTGTATACCTTAGGACGCCGTTTATTCTCAAGAACACCTGATATTAATTGATTTATGAGTACCAAAATAGATGAGATTTACATAAAAGGAGAAGGAAATAAAGTTACAATTGTTATATAATTGTGCATATATCACAATAAAAGTGCGTAAATGACTTCTTTACCTTGAAATTGTGTCTGTTGAAGTACGACAGATGTATATATTTCATTCTGTACATGTATCACATAAATTAATTTTCTGTTGAAATGTTCTCAGTTATCGCAGATTAAAATGAATACAAATAAATTGTTGGTCACATTGTTTTTCGTTTAGATTCACCCATTTTTTTTATGTTCCTTCTACTCAAATTTGAAATATGTCTATGTTTTTATCAAAATTTCTACATGCCCACATACAAATGTTTATCAATTGTGGACTTTTGAAGAGGTCAATACGTTGTTCAGATTATATTAACCGAAGACGAAGTCCGAGGATCAATGTTATCTAACAGGTTCATATATATTGTATTGACTTGAGTGAAAATCCTTAATTTGTATTACATATGAAAACAGTGTATTATAGAAATGGCCTTCAATGTTCTTTCTGTATATTTAACATAATATTTTGAAAGATTTTGAAAATTGACCGTCAATATATATATATATATATATAAATATATATATAAGTACGTCTGAACCAGTGACAACGCTACAACAGATTTCTGTTGTAGAGTTGTCACTGGTTCAGACGTACTTTCAAATATAATTATTTCTGTGACTGTATCTTGCATTAATTTGTAGGATCCTTTACAATTGATATTTCAGCTGATCTGTAACAATTCCATCTTCATGCCTTATATATCATGTTCTGTATTATGACGCTAGATTAAAACTGACGCGGGAAGTTAACACCCGACCACCGAAAGCTTTATTATTTATGAAGCCTTGGTGGTCATGTGGTCTAGCGCGTCGGATACAGTGCAGGCGATTTGGTGTCACGATATCTCAGTAGCATGAGTTCGAATCCCGGCGAGGGAAGAACAACAAATTTGCGAAAGCAAATTTACAGATCTAACATTGTTGGGCTTATGTTTAGACGAGTTGTATATACAGAATGTACACAGCCATGTATCACCATCACTGCTGGTGATCCGATGGATAAATCTGTTGTGGTCGTGTGGTCTAGCGCGTCGGATACAGTGCAGGCGATTTGGTGTCACGATATCTCAGTAGCATGAGTTCGAATCCCGGCGAGGGAAGAACAAAACATTTGCGAAAGCAAATTTACAGATCTAACATTGTTGGGCTGATGTTTAGACGAGTTGTATATATATATATATATATATACATTAATAGAAACATACCGTTCATATACTTAAATACTTTTGAATCACGTGATCGTAATTACCAATAAAAAAGAAGAATGCTACACCACATGCTTTATATATATATGTAAACATACCTTGTATACATAAAATATTCAGATAGTAACGACTTCACGACTGACGAAATATTGAGATGAAAATACACCACTTAACTCAGAATATACACAACGTGAACTAAAAATGTACAGTAGAGAGGTAATTTTATTTTTCTGCGTATATATCGGCAACAGATAGTTGATTAAATTTGTAACAGTTCGTTTTTGACAAACAATTTTCATTTTTCTAATTTACACAATATAATGCATGTTCAAAAACTCCTTTGACTGTCCAACTGATCCCTAAGAAGTAATCATGTTGATTAATCTGACAAAAGCATGGGCCAAAGTAAGAAGTTCTTGTTGGATTTATATTTGCTTTAGCAATATGAGACACTAGCGTTATCCTATTGAAACGTACTATTGGCAGCTAATTAAAAGACAGAAAATTTGGTGGAAGAATGTAATTTCTGAGTCTTTGGATATCACGTTGCTGTTAATAGATACAATATATGTCCAATTATGGTCATAATTCCGCCTCCCACTTCCCCTAGAATTATATCGAACACACAGGCTTCAAAAAACAAAACCGTAACACTCGTTATCAGTGGATAATACACGTCGCGAGCTTGATAATCTTAGCTGTAAATGAAGTTTTGTTCATACAATACGTTGACGATGACGAAACGTCAATATAGTTACCCGATACGGTATTTGAACAGACTTCAACGTCAGCAAAAAAAAAGTTTTTTGATACTGAAAATTATAAGGCATAACTAATAATATAGGTTTTGTACCAGCTGTAGTACGTTTTTGTATTTTTCTCATCAAAGGGACAATCAAAGTTCTAAACCGATAATTTAACACTAAAGACAAAAAATTACGAAAAGACAAACAACAATCCACAATCCACAAAACACTACATGCAATACAAAAGATCGTGCTTGCCCCAGAAAGTTAAGAAGATCATGGTCCACATATGGTACCCGTCGTGTTGTTTATGGCAAGAACGAAGTTCTTGATGCAACAATCGAGGAAAAGAGGACAGGAGTGTTGCTACGACATTTGAAAATATCCGTGGTCATTTATAACATAGATTACATTCTGATGGTGTCCGTAAAGCTTTCGAAGTGATGACTTTCCACTTTACCACGTAGAACTCGCGGCATTTATCAAGGAAATCATGATAGAAAAGGCAAGCCCTGAACTATGGTATCAACTGGGATATATATACTCCATGTGTAGGCGCTACTTGAACTTTGGTACATAAAAACGGAAAGTTCACAATATGAATGATGAAATCATCTCTTTCGTAAAGATACGTTATTTGATCGTTCTGTCTTATCTTGGCGTTTTTACTCTTAGTAAACAAGAGCACTATTTATCAGTATTGGAATTAGGAGACAATATGCGTCGCTAGGTAAACTCAATTTGAGACAGTAAAATCTATGTTTAACGAAGGCCAAGCTTGAAATACAAAACAGTTATCTCCATTCTAATGCCACACATAAAGATAAATTCTATTTTAGTAAATATTTTGACTTCAAAATGCCATAAATGAAAAAGTCCGAGAAACAGTAACGTCGTCTTTGGTGTCAAATGTATACTCTCGATGTCAAACATACAACACTAGACGTGTTTATACTTTTCGTACGCTTCTGAATGGTTTAATTATTGACAAAAAGAAGATTTTGAGGCACAAAATGTGACTTTTTTGTTTATTTTTTGAGTTTTAAGAAATTACATATAAAAACAATTCGGAATTCAAAATGGTGGCTTTCTTTAGTTACGGACCGCTTGAACGTGGAATCTAACCCTTCAAAATATTTGTCAACGTCCAATGAAAATTATCGTTTGAAACGAATTGCATTAGAATTGGTTGTTTGACATCTTTCCAGTAACCTCATCGTATTGTTTTTAGTAATTCTAACGTCAGGTAACGACTGTTTGAATAGAACCGAGTTGTAACCTTATGTTGTCCTCTCTCTATTATCGTTTTCCTTTCTAGAAGCAGTATCTTCTAGTTTGAAACATTGGAAATAGTAATTTTGTTTCTTACTGCAGTAGACGTCGACTGAATACAATCGTATACCGCCCGGATCCTTCGGGCGCTTTCTACTGTCATGTTGCACACGACTGAGGTTAAAAACAAATTATGCTTATTAGTTTGTCCAGTATATTAAGGCGATACAAATGCTACAATGTAAAAGAAAAGTATAAGAATTCTATATTTTCAGGTATAACTTTTCAGGATACACCGATCATTTCGTTCATGACTATTTATAATCAAATTATGATGTGAGAGGCATGAGATAACTATACACCGAAAGACTTGGATGTAAATAGAGGCAACAGTAGTTTACCGATGTTCAAATCTCACTAATCGATTAAGAAAAAAATATCAAGGTAACAAACAAAACCTGAGTGAACCAACAATGTAAGTAACTACAGGTCACCGCACGGCCTTCAACTATTATCAAGACCCATACTGTATAGTCACCTATAAAAGGTCTCGACACGACAAAAATGTTAAACAATTGTAACCATGAACCGACATTTATATAAAAAAAATAATTAGATATAACAGTCAGCAACAAGCCACAACCACTGAATTGCAGGCTTGCGATGCTAACTTCAGTGCTAGGAACATGTTTCCCGGATAATGTTTCGAAGGTTCGACAGAACTGAAATGTCAAGTCCGTAGAAAGTAAAGACAACTATGTTTAATATGTTTATGGTAGCTCTATCAGAAACACTGAACAAATGTTACAGAAGATTGGCTCCATTTTATGCGAAGTGGTGTTTGCCAAGTCTGTTTCGATTTTACGTTTATCTGTTATCTTTAAAACGGTTTCCCTGATATTGAAATGTTACTTTTACCATAAGCAATATGCAAAAACGGAACGGAAGTCACGGATATGAGCATGTATTGCTGTCTCTTCTAACACTGTTTTAAGAAATAACAATATATGAATGTTTAGACCTTTGTTTTGATTCCAGTTAATCTGATTGCATGGGTGATTATTTTACCGAATAACCTGCTTATTCCGTCCTATTCAGGATACTCGTTATGGACTCCAACGACTAAGATCAATTATGTAGCAATACGAAGGTTGCCTCTATTGGATCAGGAACTTAACACCCTTTCAAGTGCGCCCCAGTATTTGTTGCTCATTCTTTAGTTTTATGTGTAGTGGTTTGGTGACTGTTGTTTGTCTGTTTGTTTTTTCCTTTTGGTCATGGTCTCGTTTGTCTTTCTTGACTATGCTTTAATTGTCCCCTTGTTACCTTGTCCGTTTTTTCAATCCATATTATATAAAATGAATATACTTTCGAATGTTTCGATCATTTGTACCTCTTGCTTACTTGTTTCAATTTCTTTCTAGCAAGTTCTTTAGTAGCAGAGATATCATTAAAAGATCAAATGTTACCGAAACGTCATTTTTATCATTAATTCTGAAGCTATTTATTAGAATGTTGCATAACACCGCAGTATATCATCTATTATTATGTTTTCAGACGGTTGAGCACTTAGTCTATGTTAATTCATCTTTCTGACAAGTTCTATGAATTTTACAATGTAAAAACAATGGCGTCAGTATTTCTTGAAATGTTTAAAATACGTTGTATTGAAATAAATGAGTACGCTACCTTTTTACTCTCTTGCACATTATTGCCATAGAAATAACTTGAGACCAATAAATACCTTATTTAAATAAATATGGACCAAAACCATTCGAAAAACTTTCCTAGAAAAGATAAACCACGGCGTGAAAATTACAGCTCGATAAAAGACTCAGTGACGTAAAAGTATTTTTACTTCTTGTTCTTTACCCTTGTCAACAAACAGTTGAATATTAAAAAAACAGTTAAAACTGTAAGCAGAG